GTGCCTTATCCGAAGTCGAGCAACAAAAACACGTTGAGACAATACCTCTCCACGTCCCAGCACTCCTCTGGCCGCGTTTGGCGCTCACGGTTCAGCGTTTTGTCTGCCAACAACTTCGTGTTTCCGTCTTCCGGCGAAGCTTTGTTGTTTACTACATGGTTGCGCCTACGTTGCGTTGGACTTCCAGTAAAAGCTGGTGATCGACGAGCCTGGTTCATGGTAGGCGACAATGTCGTGCATGCCAAAGCATGGCTCCAATAGTCATCGCTCCGGGCGTTGGCCGATATCCATGGTAACAATGCAACATATAGCAACATCAGTATTGGTATCGGGCAGCTAGTACAGACTTTCTCCCTGTAAGGGCAGTTTGCTAGTCGCCGGATACCTCCCTGGGCAACCATCTGAACTTTGGCCTGGATAGCGTACTTATTCTACCACGGTTCATCCCTTGTACAATCGGATGGATGTATACTACTTACAACTAAACCAATGACCTTTGCATATCAGACCGGACAGCAGACTCCAGACCAATCCGTGCCAAGGTGGAAAAGCGCATCAGTCGGCTCCGCCAGAACCACGGTTACGGCCGCTGTTTAGCTTTCCATGGCTAACAATCATGGCCGGAAGCAGCTCCATCGTCGTCAAGATAGTGAGAAGATACCTCGCGCCTGAAAGGTGGACTACAGAGTGCGGCTGTTCTTGTCTCGGAAATGGCCCCATCCGGTATGCCTCGAAACTGTCTTCTTCGGCGAGAAACACAAAGTCATCCATCTGTCTATTGATCAAAGATTCGTCACGTAGCAAGTGGTCGTTGGACCACACCCGATTCATGATAGCCAAAATCGCGAATCTCCTATACCGCGGTACAGTCGTGCGCTATTCGCAACCCTATTCGTGTACCCGTACCAATGCAACCCACACCTCGAATCACACACCAAGCCGACCGCCTCATCGGGGACCTACTTGACTCTCTTTGCTTTTGTCCTATCCGAACTCGGACAGTGATCGACAGAGGGTGCAAGGGGCACAGTCTGCACGCGGCCTGCCCAAAAGTCTGTGCGGAGATGGTTCAATGTGCCGTACAGTCACAGCGCGCTCATGCAAAGTCATTCAAGCATCAAACAAGTCACCTGCTGCTGGCTTCGGCGCAGTCTACGGCCAAATCTCAGTGTGTGGGGATAGCGTCAGATCTGTTTGCTTGTTTCACAGGGCAGAGGCAGCAGATCCCCCATCTTACACCTTTCGCCCTAGACATATCGGGCTGATGGCGCGCTGATCTGTGGCCTTGGCGACGGTGAACCCTGAATTACCGGCATGTACTCTTCTTATTGTCTTGTTTCATGCCTGATACTTCATATTTTGGCCATGTCGATATTGATATTCTTATCTGCTCATATCCCCTATTACATTCAAGCCGCAAGGCTCAAGATCCCGGGGAGTCACCGAGACATTTGTCCGTCCTCTTCCGACTCGATTCGGGGATGTCATGGATGTGAACATCTAAGACATGCGCCTCTTACCTGCCTTCCTAGTCGAGCATGGCGTTTAAAGGAACAGACTCGGCCGGCAAACGGTAATTGGCCTTCTGCGCTAGTAGCCAAATGCCGGTCTAACAGATGGTGGACTGTGCTGTAGGCCTGTTCTGCACGACGGTTCTCGTGATTGCGTTGCCGATTGGCCTCGCTCTTCGTATTCTGGTGTTAGCTTGGCAGCGAGTCCAGGGCTACACTCCTTTCTTCTGCAATGCGTATGTATGTACAAGGCTCAATGCCTCGGTGAACGGCGGCGAACTGTCGTGAGGAGTCAGGAACATGGCAACCGACCCCGAACACTGGGCGCTGTACCCTTGCGGAGCCGGGAACAAGCGTTCGCGGGTTGTTGCCAGCTGCAGACCGAGGTCGTGAGCATCTTCACCTTGGCGAAAGAGCACCGCTATGCGTGCTCCCTAGGTTGCCAGAGAGGTTCTCACTGCCTGCCACTTTGCTGAGTCCGCCTGCGGCCCCAGCTCGTCCCTAGTTGGGGAAGATCGCTGCCCATCCCTCGCGGGCGTTGGGTGAGAGTATACCGGCAGGAGCCAGTTCGCTCCAGGAAGCTTAATGCCATCGTCATTGTCTAGGCATGCCAATGGTAGTCACATTGCCGGCCGTAAATGAACGACGACAAGTACCCCATCCACATTCGATATGAAGACAGAGATCGTCAATGATCGCCGATGGAGGGACCTCCCGTCAGCCCATTCCCGCATGCCACTACTGCGCACTTCCTCGATGTACAGTACCGCGAGAAGTCCGGCGGTGTGCTTCGTGGTGGACGACTCACCGGATTGGACCTTTCGGAAGTGTACACTCCACCTTTGATATCATATTCTCCCCCGGCAATGCCATCAGATACACTCTGCATTGGTGGTCAGACGCGGGTAGTATCGTACTGTAGATGCCAGTCTTGCCAGAGTCAGACGGGAGGGATGTACTGTAAGCTGAGAATTTTGCAGAGCTCCGTCGTTGCGGAGTGGTCTCCTCCTCCCCGTGGAAGGAATCATTTGTCTCCTTTTTGATGCCCTGCACGGAGCTCTGGCTGTACTGACACCGTACCCCCGTCCCCGACAAACCTCTAGGGGACGTTGCCGGGTAAACAGTCTTCTCCTAGAAGGGGGGGCCAAGAGCGGTGAAATCTGCGAGTGACCCGGTACTTGTGGTAGTGAAAAGTCTGATAAACCCCTGGCAGGCACTGCCTCCTAGCATGAAGATGAAAGGGGGCATTGCCTTTGCCTAAAATGCTGTACGTGCAGACGACCTCGCAGCATGTGACCTCTTCGCCAGGCTCTCAAAGTCGTCTCTGCTTCCCCGTCTGCAGCTCATCTGTCAGTCACGGCTTGCACACTCGAGTTCCTGATGCGCTGGCCTTGAAGCCGGGTGACCAAGACGCACCGCCGAGCAAGTCTTGAACACACAACTCGCCTGTGCCTAGGTACCGATAGCTCGGAATCTGATCTCCATGGCCGCAGAGCAGATCACGGAGACACGCAGTACCCCTGATGCTCTGTTGGAAAGATGGACAGATCGACGCTGCCCTCCCCGTTGTCGGGAGTAGCATGATGTAACAGTGCCTGCCAGTTGCTTTTGCGGTTCATCAACTAGATACTTCGAGCAGCGAGCAGATGTCTACTTGAATCCAGTAAATGGTTGTAGCTGCTCTGCTTCAGTATATCGTAGTAGACTGCCATTGAAGGATAGACTTCGAGCAGCGATACTAGACAGCGAGAGATAGATTGACGCCGTTGTCCACGTTCCGGCGAGTCACTCGATGTAACAGCACCCGAGAACTTCTATGATGACATTACGAGCAGCAAGTCCACGGGCGTTCCTGTATATTGAACGACGGACTGCTGCCGCGCTTCTCCGGCTGGCCCACAGAGTTTATGTAGTTCAAGGAGCAGAACAGAATGAATGATAGCACTCACGTACGGCGAGAGGCGCACACAAGGCAACCTGGCCGCGTTCTTCCACGTTCGCTGTAGATACCGGAGCACTCGAGTCCCGTCCGCTCTGCCAGTGCTGGACCAGTAATCGGCATACTAGTACTCGAGCGAGTGACCACCACCTGGAAGGTCCTGATATTACACGTTGTTGTACTCCCTCTGCACTCCTTCTGCCTCGCCTTATATATCGGACTGGACATGAATGGTGGAATATTGGCCGGCTGCTTGAGCCACGGTCAAAGACCACACTATACCTCGACGACATTGTGCCCGAAAATGCTGATTCGACCTAGTTGACGTCTTCGTCCGACAGCACCACAGCATGCCCAGCGACGTGACCGTCGACCTCTTCGAAGGTAAAGGCGTAGATGGTCGGAAACAGGTAGGGTACCTTTCTCATAATGTAGGCGAGGGCGACTTGGCGTAGGGTGATACCCTCCGCTTTGCGATATACCGATTGACACGTCAATGTGGCGCACCAAGACGCCGGAAGCCGTAGGGCGCTTGGTATGGCGCTCTCTGTCCCGACCGCGGCGCAAGCTGCCACGGTTGAGGAAGCCATAGAAACAGATGCCCATGCCCCTTAGATTGGCATATGGGGACGATGTCGCGTCGAGTATTTAGAGTGAGAGGTGGCAGGTAGATGACCGTATACCAATGCCCAGGAAGGTACGGTGAAAGTCAAAGGCCGTTGAACTTGACGTGCGCCTCGTCCTTTCACCGACGAAGAAAGCGTAGGATCTCCAGGTTACGCACCAGAAACAACGTACCTACTCACTTGGCAGCTTCATCTCTAGTTCACCAGGCGACATCATCTGTGCCATTTTCACGGAAAAGCTTGTGTCCGTCTCCATCAATCCGACAAGGTAAACCGCAATCTGAACATGTCTCGCACATTATAATGCCTGTTAGTACAATGATCCGCCATGCCAGGTTCGGTTGGCTTCCACGTAGCTAGACTCCCTCCTTCCTCCTGCAGTCGAACGGGTTCAGAGATGCATTGACTCTGCTTTCGACGAAGATACGACGCTAATCATACCCGAACGTTTCCAAAGTATCGGTGCTCCTTCATTCCTGGTGCTTTGCTCGAGGCATGGTGCCCTCAGCCTGCTCGGCGAGCTAGAGTGCTCTCCCTCGACTACATACCACTTGACGTGGAAACGAGACTCGATTCGGGTGTTGGGACGTTGAGAGTTGGACGAAGTCTGGGCAGAGGTGGAAATGTTAGGCAAGGTGCCATTGGTATTCGGTTCATGGCGTACCGCTGAGTTGCACTGATGATGTTAGGGGCACCACCCCAGCCCTAGGGCTTGGACGAATTTGCTACGCTCGATAATTATCCTGAAAAGTTCGGACTGGTCGAGGTAACGCCATGGTTTTCGACGACTTTCACCGTCCAACTAGGACTTGGTTACCTCGTCGAGGGGCTTTGTGTTCCATTGCGGGATAAGGGGGGCAAAATGCCCCACTACGGTAGTATTACATATTGGATTAGCATTTTGAAGCTCCATCAGCAACCATAGGGTGGATGGCCGAGCGGTCTAAGGCGCTAGACTCAAGTGGTAAAAACACTTCCGTTTCCAAAGACATGGATAATTCTAGTATCGCAAGATGCGTGGGTTCGAATCCCACTCCACTCAATTATTTTTTCTTTTTCGTTCTGCCGACCCCTATAATTGACCTTGTGAGCAGTAAGTAGTATTAGTATAACGTAAGAGTGCGATTCGCCCCTTAGTTTACGACTTCTTACCAGCTCGTTTTTCAATCGTGGGGTCGCGTAATTTCGCAAAACAGGAACTGGTGCTTGAGACTGGCAGCGCATCACCAGCCTGCAATCAGGAACTTGTAAAAACTCAGACCATCTTGACACGAAGTCAAGTTCCCCTATTGTGGGACGAACAATCTAGGCTATCAGCATCAACATTTCTGTAAGCGCCCTTTTCTCACAACATCAACACCACTGTAAGCGCCGTCTCTCTCGTATGTAATATGTAACATGAAGACGAGCTCATCATTCAATACTATCACTTCGGTTCCCATTATCAGTCAAGGCAAGACGTCATTACGCTGCTTTCTCCTATGATAAAGCTGAGGACACGGTCACACCGAGTAATTGTACAATAACGAACGCAGACCAATGCACGCCAACCCCCAGGATAACATTGCAGACCGCGTGTTTGCTCCCCCAATACGCAGTATAGACTCTATCGAGGGCCTCCCATCCTTCACAAACTGAATCCCGCCTAGTCTACCCATGATCCCTCTTAAAAGGTATAACCAATCTCCATCTTCTCGTCTCCCCTCAAAGCACAATCGCCAATTCCCCCCGATCAATGTCCTCCTCCACCAAGTTTGGATAATACGGCACCATGGCATCCGCAGCCTGAACATAGGCATCGTTGTACAGCCGCCAGTACGGCGTCCTGACCTTTCTCGCGGGATGGAAGAGTCCAGCCCAAACATAGTTGAGCACCAGACCCGGGCCGACAGCCATGCGCACAGCCTCAATGGCCTCGATGATGCGGTCGATGACGTGAGGGCTCGTCTCGAAGAGGTTGGGGTACAGCAGGTTGAGGAGATGCACCATTGCGTCCTCGCAGCCGAGACCGACGACGCCGAGGGCGATGTGCTTGACCACTGAGGCGGCCGTCTGTCTGTGGACCTGGTCGCGGTCGATGAGCGCGTCTTCGAGCAAGGGCGTGACGGCGTAGACGTAGTCCTTTGCCATTTCGCCGATGTACTCGAAGAGGAAGCTGAGGGACTTGAGCACGCCGTTCTGCACGTTCAGCTCGGGCACCCTGTACTCGTTCATCAGCGCCGGCAGGACGGTGAACGGCGCGCAGGTCTCGGCGACGATGCCGATGGCGACGGCGGTGTTGACACGCGACTGGCGCTCCTGCACGCGCAGGTTGTTGAGCAGAGTGGCCAGCACGTCCTGCGGGCCGATGGCCTTGGCGATGAAGCCGAAGGTGTTGTTGGCGGCTCGCCTGATGCCCTTTTTGTGCGCTTTGAGCATGTCGAGGAGCTCGAAGCAGATACGCATCCACTCGCGCGCGTTCACGCTCTCTGGGCCGCGATCTGCTATGCGACCGACTAGGTCGATTGTGTTTTCTTGCACTTTCTCATGCCGGTTGCGGAGAATGGGTGTCAGGCGCGGAAGCAAGTCTTTGATAGGGGGCTGCATCTGGCTGATGCCAACGACTGTGACGATGGATCGGAGAGCTCCGAGGATGGAGCCGAGGACTTCGGGGTATTCTTCACCTAGGTACTCGTAGAGGACGATACCGAGCTTGCCCATAAGGGCATCCTCGCCGCACTGCTTCATGACCATGGCGATTCTGGAAATGAGGTCGGCAGCTTGTTGACGTACCGTCGGTGACTTGTTGTTCAGCCGCCAGAGAATGGTGCTGACGATCTGGGGGAGATATGGCTTGCATCGGGTGCCAAGGGCGTTGACAACGGAGCCGAAACCATTGAGCATGATAATGTCTTCGACGCTCTGCTCCTGGAAAGAATGCAGGATACCGTCGATGAGACGCTCCTCCAACCGCTCACCGATGTCAGCAGCTCCAAGAGAAGCCACTATCTTCTCGACGGTCTCGACGGTCATCTTCCTGTACGCCTCGCTTTCGTCCTTCAGGTTCACGACGATCCTCTCCAGAATCTCACTGGCTCCCACTTTCTGACCAATGTCGACTGTGGTCTCGACGACCTGTCTGTAGTTCCGCTTATCCAACGCCATTCTTCGTACCCAGAAGTTCTTGAAGAACTCATCCAACACATGCTCCTTGAGGTAGCCAGCTGTGACTCCGTCCGTGCCCGCACATTGGGAGATGACCTTTAGCACAACCTTTTTCATTTCTTCGTCAGGTGACGCAAATTCTCGGAGGAGAATCTCCATGATCTGACCGGTGTAGTAGTTGGCATAGTCCTCGTCCATGAGCGGGATAATGTAGCCAACGGCCTTGAGATAACCTGCCAGACTCTTGCCCCGCTGCTTGCGAGCGCCGGTCCAGAGAGGATTGAGGATATCGTCGAAGCTCTCGATACCGTACGGGTTCGAGGCTTCGGCCAAAGCTGCAATGGCCAAACTGGTGACTGTCCGAACCTTGGTCTGCTCATCGTTCAGGTTGGGCCCGATGCAATCGACCAGGCGCTTGAGGTGAGGTAGGACGGCACACCCCATGAGGATAGGAATCTGCTGGACAATCTTGACTCCTGTATGGCGAGCTTGCCACGACTTTTTGCTTCGGCAGACGGCTTGGAGGAAGGGAAGGAGGGCGGGTATACCAAGAGCGGAGGCAACGACGGCAAAGGCTCTGGCTGTGGTGTTTCGGACGTACTCGTCCACGTGGTCGATATCCGGCCTCATGGTGCTGATCATGGTGGCCAGTCCAGCGGCCTTGCTGAGATTGGAGATAATCTCTCGTCCCTCAACACGTGCATAGTAGTCTTGGTCGATGAGCAGCGGCTCGATGACGACCAAGATCTTGTGGACGTATGGCCGAACCAAGTCGTCGAGCTTGTAGAGAATTCTGTCGATGACTTTGACGAGCAAATGCCGTTCCTGATCCTCCAACGTCTTTTCCATGAGCAACGGCAGGATTTGATTAAAAAGCGGCCCAGCTCCGAAATTTCTCGCATTGTCTGTCAGCTGTCTCAGCGCAGTCTTGCGCATCGGAGGCGTGCCGTTCTTGACCTTCAGGAGCAGTCTCATGATCTTCCGCTCCTTGAGTTCTTCGACAGAAAGTTGGTCCTCGTTCGACCCGTCAGTCAGCTTGCCGAAGTAAGCCATATCCTCGGGCTTGAAGAATTGGAGGTCGCCAACGCCCGGGATCTCTTTTGGAATTTGTTGACCGGCAAGACGTCCACTGTCAGGGTCCTGCATCATGAAGCCAGATGAAGGTAGAGGTGTCTGCATCAGCTTGTGGGCCGGTGCTCTCACAGGCGCATAACCGGGAGGGAACTCGAGAACCTTGTAGCCTTGATCAGGACCAGGAAGCATAGCATCCAGCTCCTCGTCACTAATGGCAGCATATCTGGCAGCGTCTGCACCAAGAGGCACAACAGGGGTTTGTGATGGATGCATGGGCGTGGCCAAGCCCTGAGCACCGATGGGTGTCGCAGCCGGAGCCTGGTCCCATCGCGACCGCTTCTTTGGGACCTCGCCTCCCGGAGCTGGTGCTTGGTCCCACCTCGACCGCTTCTTCGACTCCGCGGACTCGGCAGACTCGTCTGTTGTGGCGACATCCCACCGCTTCTTGCGCTTCCGACCAGCCGCAGCCTCTGTAGATCCGGCATCCCCATTCTCCTTGTTCTCAGGCTCATCCTTTAGCGTCGGTTTGTGCTCCACGATGTCGCCATCAGCAGCCTTTTCTTTCAGCTTCTGCTCGATTTCGCGACGGACGCGCTCTTCCTCGCGCTCTAGCTCTCTCTCGTGAAGGATATCGCGGTAGCTGTGTCCTTCTTCAGCAGCGCCTGCCTGCCGGTTAGCCGCGAAGGGGTCAGCTCGAGTGGGAGTCAGCACTCTGTCGAAGCGGCGCTTCTGGTAATCCGTCTCTCTGTCTGTGATCCTGTTGCTCTTCTCTCCCCGGCCGGCAAGCATGTCCTCTTCCTCTACACCATTGCCGCGCGCAAACTCGTTGATCTGCGACTGAGTGGCGGTATACTGGCCTACCAACCGGCGGCTGGTGTCGGCATCCGCCATCTCCTCGTCATCGTCGCCATCGGCGGCGGGTAGCGAGGTGAGATAGCCGGAAAACTTGTCGCCATTATCGCGTTCGTAGAGGCTCGTGTCCCAGGCATCGGTCAGGCTGACCTTGTTTGAGGAGTCAGCACGCTGGTCGCTTGGGTCGAAGGCCCCGGAACCTTTTTTCGCGGCAGCAGCAGCATTGCGCTCCTGCTGGAGCTTCTTGATCTGCTCGAAGTCGGCGTCCGACATTGTGTTGGCTTTCAGTCGGCGAAGGCTCGATTCATCCCATTTGTGTTTCTAGTGTCTAGATGCTCCTCGGCATCCGCGGTTTTCGCGTATTGTCGTCGGTTGTCGTCGTCGAAAACCGAGGGAGAGGATGGATTGGATGAGTTTGCTGTGGGCAGGAATGTGAGCTTGGCGGTGGTGGTTAACTTTGACACGCGAGCGAGGCTGAGATTAAAATTCTAGGTGGCGGCGATGCTAGCTCAACCAGCTGGCTTAGTCACCCAGCCTACTTCCATTAAACGCTCCAGCTAAATCACATGACAGCGTAACTGGTGGAACACGACTTGCGGCATCCGCTTCGCGTCTCTTTGATTGCCACCAAAAGTGGGCGTCATGACTTGACCTACCGCAGATCTCTGCATTACTGTCTGCAATAGTTGCATGACTCTTATCATGTGAACCACGACCCTAACGACACCCAATGTGCATAGAGCAAAACAAAATCGAATACCGAGAAGATGGCCCCTGCCAAAGCGAGCCGGACTCCTGCAAGGTCATCCGCGAAGACCATCACCACGAAACTGCCCGCGTCGAAGAAGAAGCCAGAGCGCAATGCGAGTATACTGAGTTTCTTCAAGAAGGTCGACGAGGAGCTGTTCGTTGGTGGACCCCAGAACTTCGCCGTTGAACCAGAACAAAACGAAGACATCTATGGATTGGGCG